ACCGGCAGCCGACACACGCGCATGTAAGCCTGGCCGTAAGACACGTGGTAGACCTGACTCACACGTGGGAACTTAAGGCCTTAGGAGAGCCTCGTCTGGGAGGAAGGGGAGGGGGAGGGGCTGTCGGAGTCTTGAGGCTGGTGGTTGTATGTTGGAGATATTTGCTTGCTGTGTTAAATTTATAGGATGGTGCTACCTTACTTGATCTTTTACTTGAACTCATCAATATATATATATATATATATATATATATATATATATATATATATATATATATATATATATATATATATATATATATATATATATATATAGTGGGTTGTGGCGTTGCTTTGGTTACAGGCCAGGTGATTTGATTCTAACCTAGTCTTTATGATAATTTGATTGAGGTCTCAAGAATTGCTCTAATTAATCCCTATCATGGCTGGTGATCCCAATGATTGTGAACTTGGTGACTAGATCGTGTTCTAGAAAGTGTTTACAGCTTGCTAAAGCTGAGCTACAAATATAAAACAACTGTAAGCAACAAAGTGAACACACATCCATTAGTGGGAGTGGACCCTAGCACAACATCGCCATACCATCAGTCCGACGATAATTGAAATATACAACATCGACATAACGATAATTGAAATATACAACATCGACATAACGATAATTGAAATATACAACATCGACATAACGATAATTGAAATATACAACATCGACATAACGATAATTGAAATATACAACATCGACATAACGATAATTGAAATATACAGCATCGATATGACATGAATTTAGATATACAACATCGACATGACGGGAATTTAAATATACAACATCGACATGACGATAATTTAAATATACAACATCAACATAATGCCACTCCAACGATAATCTAAATATACAACATCGACATGATGAGAATTTAAATATACAACATTGACATGACGGGAATTTAAATACACAACATCGACATGCCACCAGTCGAACAAGAAAACATGTATCTACGGAAGCTGACCAGAGAAAAAAATCATAGACCTAATTAGGATATTGATCTGCCATTCGATCAACTGGTCCAGCGTTTCACACATACTAACGGGGGGGGGGGGGGGGGGGGCAAGCAGATGGGAAGAAAAATGAAACAGTCTTCACACTGTCATGACACTGTCATGACACTGTCATGGATAGCTGACAGCTGCGTCAGCTGGTAAAAGAAACTCAGCTATTTTTAGCCGCGTCTTCGGGACATTGTTCAATAATTATTGCAGATTGGATTAAATGTGGATAACCGGTGGTTTTTTTTTTTTTTTTTTTTTTTTTTTTGTTGTTGTTGTTGTAATGCGTTTCTTTTGAGGTCGGCGTGATCGGGTCGGTATAGCTCAAGGCTGCTCAACTCGAGTTCGAACCCCCGGGCAGATGAGGCTCAATAGCTGGGGACAGACTCATCTAGGAGAGAAAACTCCAAAATCAAACAACTGATGCTAACACGGCATCACTGGGCGTATGACCTTCCAGTAAAGGTCACCGGCCAGTTCAGAAGAGTTCCTAGATGAACTTAATGGCCACCTAGATGGAGGCTCTTGGCTGTGGTCAGGCATGGAGATGTATGGGCGACGCACCAAACAATTGTGTGGTACCCCAACGACGCTAACAATGATTATGGGATGATTTAGATAGAACTTTGGCATGGGTTATTTTTAGCATTCAAGTCACATACGGCGTTTTGCATGATGTTAAATCAAGTATGATTCAGGTCAGATGAGTGTATGGTCTACAGAAAAATCCACCAAATTATCTGCGGAGGATACATTTTCTGTAGGTATATCCAGTGGTATTTCTGCAGATATATCCAGTGTGGTATTTCTGCAGGTATATCCAGTGTGGTATTTCTGCAGGTATATCCAGTATGGTATTTCTGCAGATGGATGCAGTAATTTTTCTGCCCGTATCATATCAGTAAATTGGCAGTCCCAGGGGCTGACCGTGATTTCTGGCACCAGGCGCCCTACTCCCCCGGGTGTAGGCCGCCATCATTCCTGTCTATGGTGTCGTCTGATAAATGCAGGACACTGATCTAAATAGACTCTCCACGCTCGCTCTTTGTGTATTGGAACTATTGGCCGTAGTTTTGTCTAGACTTAGGTGTAGGGCTATCCTGTGTAGGTCTTTATGGACCTCACTTGTAGGGGCTTTCTAGACTCAGGTGTAGGTCTATCATTTGTAGGTCTTGGATGGTCATGAATTGTGACGTCAATGTGTTCATGCCTGGTCAGTGACGTACATTAGGTCATGTCCCTGTGGTCATGTAAAGTAAGCTGAGATGGGCGGAGTTATGACGTAACAAGTCACGTGGCTACGCTGACTAAACATGTTTCAGCGACCGAAAACTACCATGGGTCAGTGAACGAAAACTACCATGGGTCAGTGAACGAAAACTACCATGGGTCAGTGAACGAAAACTACCATGGGTCAGTGACCGAAAACTACCATGGGTCAGTGAACGAAAACTACCATGGGTCAGTGAACGAAAACTACCATGGGTCAGTGAACGAAAACTACCATGGGTCAGTGAACGAAAACTACCATGGGTCAGTGAACGAAAACTACCATGGGTCAGTGAACGAAAACTACCATGGGTCAGTGAACGAAAACTACCATGGGTCAGTGAACGAAAACTACCATGGGTCAGTGAACGAAAACTACCATGGATCTGTAACCGTCTAGACCTCACCGCCCCGTAAACAGCTAGTATTAGTCTCAGTAGATGACATCATTAACATGTGACCCATGTATCCTCGTTTGATTGGTCCTGAGTTCATCTGTTGCATCACGCGAAGGCAGATTTTGATACGACCTAATCAGACTCGAAATTATGGGATAGTTAACTACAGGCCATTGCCATAAGTAGGAACTTGAGTTCAATTGATACGGTTAATACTGAGCTAACTCTAGCTATTGTGATGGTTGGTTCTGAATTGTATGGCTGCATACAATTGTTATATAACTCTATATAGTTAGTTGAAATGGGGTGGATTGAAAAGTTGAAACAATCTGCAAGTTGATTCTAGGGGTAAGTAGTGCGGTATGGAAAGGCTAAAACGAAAGCTTTACTTCTACAGCTTATTTAAAATTAACCAGTCAGGTTTTTCTATATACTTTCTTTATATATATGTATATATATATGTATATATATATATATATATATATATATATATATATATATATATATATATATATATATATATATATATATATGCATATAGCACTTTCGTGATATATGTTGGTGACGATGTGTTACTTGGGTAGGGGATCAGGATTTCGTAAAGATGTGTTAGGAAGGGTGGGGTAGGGATGGAGTCAGAACTTTCGACAACACACATCGCATTTTAAAAATAGTGTCAAAAACTGAATTTTAGCCATGTATTCGCGGTTTTTAAAGTCTGTTTTTGTAAATTGCACAAGAAATTGATTAACATACTCAATGTTGACCGAGCTAAGTAAATATTTTGGAAAGAAATCGATGTTTTAAAACACACATACTCACACATACACACACACACACACACTGCATCGAGGAAGGTTGTAGGCTGGGGTGTGGCGTCACTTTAGAGACAGGGGGGGGGGGCGTCTAGCGTTTTGTGACAATGTGTGACAATGTGGAGGGGGGGTAGAAATCGTCACAACGTGACGAAGTTTGTAGATGATCGCACAGCTATAAAATCTTGTTTTCTCTACTCCATTTCTTAGATTCGCTTAAACTGGTATGAACCAAAATACTTTTTTTAAAAAGCCGCGTTACTTTAAAATATCTTCTCCCTTTCGATGTCGGGATAAATTTGTTAATTAAAAATAATGTTCCTCTTCCACGGCCGCGCCCCCCAACTGCCAAGAACGACAACTCTCAGCTATTTTATACAAGATTTGTCTTAGAGTTATCCCAAGATTTCACCTCTCGCCGCGTCCATACAAGCCTAGCGAAATGAAAGACGTTATAGAAGACGGGCTTATTTATCCCGCAAACGTTTGAAAAGCCTTAAAACTCTAACTATAGACATTTCTAGCCGGCTCGCTAAAAAAAAAACTTTATTTTGGCATCTAATTAAGGCAGCTGTACATGGAGGATGTTGCATTCATCATAGAAAAGACGTCATGCATAAAAAGAACATTTTTCTTTCCCGGATTTTTTTCTCGCGATGAGCCTGACGACCAATACATCATGGGTGGTATTGATGGCCTGCCCTATGTGTCGCTCAGCTGTCTGTGGAAGGTTGTAAGACGCTCCCGTGGCATTGCCGGGAAATTCAATACATTTCTCAATCTATACGTCTGTTCTCCTTCTGCCCGGCACATCAAAGCCGGCACCGGTTGGTGATTAGAGAGCGCGTCACACGGCAAAGATGACCTCGTGTTATTTACACTGACACGTCAAGTTGTGTTCGTTTGTTTATCTGGTGATACTAAATTAATTCTTTAAAGGTGCAAGGTTTTTATGGGTTAAACACCAATTACATACATAGTATAAATAAATAAATATATATATATATATATATATATATATATATATATATATATATATATATATATATATATATATATATATATATATATATATATATATATATATATATATATATATGTGTATATAAATATACAGATGTAAATGATGGTGATGTTGACTGTTGAAGTCAGCTAGTCAGGTGAGCATTCGCAACTTGCCAGTTTGCCAGTAACAGAGAGTTATCATCTGGCCAGTGGTCAGTTACTGGCCACCTAACTGCGGCCAGTGTTTTACTGTCAATATTGGTCAATATAGGTCAACATGGGTGAATATGGCTGAATACGGGTGAATATGGGTGAATATGGGTCAGTATGGGTCTATATGGGTCAGTATGCCCCTCAGCCAAACATCTCTCGTCCACACCAACCAAGCTAAAATTAGACCTGTGAATCGCCCCTAATTAAAGTGCCCTTATGCGATCACCCCCCCCCCCCCCCCTCGGGCTGGAAATGTAGAGATGCCAGATGAAAACCTCAAGCCCCCATATGAAAAAGCAAGTGAATTACCCTCCAGCCCGTGACCCACAACACAATCAGGCAGGGCGGCGGACACTTTCCAACAATCGGAAATGTCCCGCAGGGGGGTGGCGCCCCTGCCAAATTAACACTTGGGGTGGAAGGGGGGGGTGAGTTTTCTATCCGCCCCACGTGGCCTTCTGCATCAACACTCCAGGTTTTTTTTTTATTTTGGTTTCCCTGTATGGCTTGATTTTATTCTGGAATATTGTCCACGTTACTAGAGCATGTTCTTTCGTTACTAGAACATGTTCTTTCGTTAATAGAACATGTTCTCGTAATTACTTTTCGCTGCTTATGTATGTTCTGATGTTGTCTTAAGTAACGTGTCTTTGTTACTATAACATGTTCCCTATGCTCTTTGCACTATTTACGTCCCTAAACCTGTTTCTATTTACTGATCACTTATTAGCCCAATCTATGTATTGCTCACATAAGAGTATTCGTTCTTTATTTCTTACGACAAATCTCCTTCGTATATTGTCTAACTATCTCGTCTCTACCAAGCTCCAATACAAAACTTAATGTAACTTATTCCCCACTTACCATACCATATCTGTATTCTGTGTGTGTATGTGTATGTGGGGGAGGCGGGGAAGGATTCTAAAAATATGTTTCCCGCTAAATTTTGCGCTATGCCCTTTTGGTGAAGTTTATTTGAGATCATTTGTAAACAATACCTGTATGAATTCTAACAAATGTATGCGGGGACATAAAACTTTTAAACAACATGAAACCAGACAAACTGAAGAAACGTCAGAGAACACAGGAAAAACAAACACATGGAAAGCGGACACTACATAAAAGACCACGCCTATGTAATATGACAAAATCTCGAACAAACAAAAACAAAACAGCGACACGTTCAACATAACAGGACACACACCTGCATATCGGGGAAAAAACCTGACACACACACTTACACACACACATAGATACACAATACCCGACACCAAAACAGAGAACCACACACAAGCAAATACAAGAAAACAACAAGAACATCGGACACCGGACACACAAGAACACCAGACACACAAAAACACCAGACACACAAGAACACCAGACACACAAGAACACCGGACACACAAGAACACCGGACACACAAGAACATCGGACACACAAGAACACCGGACACACAAGAACACCATACAGACGTTAGACCACAGAACGTATACCACCACACCCAAGCACGAAGTAACCCACACAAACAGCCAAGATTTTTCCTACAAAAAAAAATAGATGATCTCGTCATGTCGACGAAAGAAAATCGATTTTTAATCAGTGTCGGGTTTTGATGACCAATGAACCGTTTATTTGTAGAAATGGGTCATCATGTGCACACTCTAGACGCCAGTGTCAATGTCAGCTGACAGCCAGAGGCTGACCTCTGGCACCGTGGTAGCTAATTAGCCAGTAGTTGATTGGGTCACACTTAGATGGTTTAGGGAATGACTTATAGCTATGTTTTGATGCGCATGCGTGCGTGTTACCAGTTTCTATTCCACGACGTTGTGAAATACTGGTGTTTTCCCCTCCAAAATGTGCTGTTAAAATAACCATATTATTGTGTTGTAAATTTTACCTTGGCGTGTATTGACAACTTCTCGTGCTACGGTGAGCGTCAAGGTTGTGTGGATGTGTGGCTGTTGTAGTGTGGTTGTGTTTAACCTTGTCATATGCGTACATGGTGTGGCGATGTACGATTTTGACTTACAAAATATTTACAATTGAGACTTTGTACTCGACAACCACCGACAATTTTAAAAAAATCTTTTTTAAAAACAGTAACAGTTATGTGAAACGTACCGTAAACGTTGTAATGTAAACCATGTACTGTAAATCATCTAATGTAAACAATGTAGGCCTACTATAAACTATCCACTATAAACCATGTAATGTAAACCATCTGCTGTAAACTATCTACTGTAAGCCATCTGCTGTAAGCCATCTACTTTAAACTATCTACTGTAAGCCATCTACTGTAAACCATCTACTTTAAACAATACACTGTAAGCCATCTACTTTAAACAATACACCGTAAACCATCTACTTTACGCAATACACTGTGAACCAAACCCTGTTATGTAAACTTTGTACTGTACAGCATATAGTTTAAACCCCCTTGTACTAACCCCGTATTTCTTCCATCTTTCTCAGACCGAAAGTTCGTCATCGCTAATGCTCAGGTCGAGACGGTTCCGATTATCTTCTGCAACGATGGCTTCTGTGAGCTCACGGGATACTCGCGTGCCGAGGTCATGCAGAGGTCATCTCTGTGTGACTTTCTCCACGGGCCACTCACCAACTCGCTGGCCATCTCACAGATTCGGGACTTCCTGCAGGGCTCTGAGGAGAATCAGGTGGAGATCCTGTACTACAAGAAGGACGGTGAGTACTGCACGTGTATTTGCGCGTTCGGTGTGAGTACACGACATGTGTGAGTGGACATGCGTGTTGTTGTGTGAGTGTACATGCGTGTTGTTGTGAGTGTACAGGCGTGTTGTTGTGAGTTGACATGCGTGTTGTTGTGAGTTGACATGCGTGTTGTTGTGAGTTGACATGCGTGTTGTTGTGAGTTGACATGCGTGTTGTTGTGAGTTGACATGCGTGTTGTTGTGAGTGTACATGCGTGTTGTTGTGAGTTGACATGCGTGTTGTTGTGAGTGTACATGCGTGTTGTTGTGAGTTGACATGCGTGTTGTTGTGAGTTGACATACGTGTTGTTGTGATTGTACATGCGTGTTTTTATGAGTGTACATGCGTGTAGGATTGTGAGTGGACATGTGTGTAGTCCTACCATCACCGAGTACACTACGTACACATAACCACACAATCATCTTTAATAACATAACACACACACAATCTTACAATCAATGAATTCCCTACATCTACACAATATCACACATGAGTACAATACAATCTTCCAATCATTGGTGAGTTCACAAATTCCAAAACATTGATCAATACACACTATGTATACTAACTGTTAAATGGTAAGTGTATAAAATTTATGAGTGAAATGTCCACAATCTTCCAATCACTGAATACAAGAAAATACACACAATCTCACAAATACTATGCCGAACTAAAACATACACAATCTTCTAATCATTTAGTGGGTACTAAAGCACTCACAGACGCACACACTCCCAATCGCTAATCAATAGCAGTTTCAAGAAAAAAAAATCATATCCTTAAAGATTTTTTTCTGCCATGTCTGAGGACTGTGGTCGCCCAACAATCAATAGAAAGACTAAATGATACAGGCGCTCGTCTTCAAACTTTTCTCAAAGCCCTGAAATAAAATCATTTGAGGAGATTAATGATGCAAGTAATATTTTTTTGAAGATCTGCTTCGGGTGTAAAGTTTTTTTTCTCCGGACTGATGGGTGCCTAGTGAGGTGGGGGGGTGTTGGGTAACTAGCTGTGTGGGGGCATTTGGTAGCTAGCTGTGTGGGGGTGTTGGGTAGCTAGCTGTGTGGGGGTGTTGGGTAGCTAGCTGTGTGGGGGTGTTGGGTAGCTAGCTGTGTGGGGGTGTTGGGTAGCTAGCTGTGTGGGGTGTTGGATACTGTCAGATTTAGACCACACCTCAACTTACACGAACCACCACTGTATTTCAAGCTCTGGTCAAATATTATTTTAGTCTTTGTTGTTTCACACTTTGAGCATTTAGTAACTTCCACAGAAAGTTCCGTTTTTTTTTAGTCCTAACTAAAATCACTGAACATTTACCGTTTCCCGAATAAATCAATGAGCCCAGTATTAGGAACTACACTCACTAAAAAGAGAGATTATTTTGTTTGTATATGCGCTTTACTACGTTCTTTTTTTTATTTTAGCAAATATTTTATAACAGTACCGATTTTCTTAAAAGCGATTGTTTTCTAATAAATCAATGACCTATTCTGAGAAATCGCAGCCATGATTTCTAAGAGAAACAATGACATTTAGTAAGAAATTATTTTTTTTTCTATGCAAACTGTTAAAGAGTAAAGATATTTTAAAGACATTGATATCATTGTAAAAGAAGTGCAATTTATAAAATGTAATTACGTTTTCAAGGGCAATGCCATTTATATGAAAAGACTGGTATTCTTATAAAGGGAATGACATTTTATACAAGGAATTATATTCCTATAAAAGCAACGAAATTTTTCTTATTAAATGCAATGGCATTTACGAGAAGGTAGTGACATCTTGTAACAGTAATGACACATTTTAAGTGCAATGGCACCTCTGTCAAAGGTTTAACGTTCCTTTAAAGGAATGACATCATAAATAAGTAACTACATTTATATAATAGCAATGACATTTCTTATAAAAAGCAATAAATACAAGTAAGGAGTGACATTTTATAAAAGTAAGGAGTGACATTTTATAAAAGTAGGACATTTCTACGAAAGCTGCGCCTGTTTTCACGTCTGCTTCTGCATTATTTATGTCGTCTGCTCCGGAGTTTCTTGTACAGGTCTCTCTCAATCTCAGCCGGCTCTGTAAAGGTGTTTTAACTCAGGGCCGGCACGCTCTCTCTGCCGGCTCGAAAAGATTGTTCAATGAGCCGGAAAACTCGCTGACGTCATGCAGTGACAGTTTAATCCGAGCAGACGATTAGCAGATCTGACAGCCAGTGCGTGGTTGCGATCAATTCCTGGAAGCCAAACTTTCTTCCTTCCATCCCCACAGTTTAAAATTTCATGGTGTTTTTTTTTTATTAAGATTATAGAAGGAAAACAAAATTGATCAGGGGCCTTAATAGCCCAAGTGCGAAGTAACTAGAGGGGAAGTAATTCAATTAAAACGCTGATCAGATATGAAAGTTTTGAAGCACGATGTTTAATACATGATTACAATTTGATGTTTGGCAATTAGTGGAGTTATGTCTGCTTGTTTGATGAATGATGTTGGAATTTCCATGGCTGGGCTACTGATTTTTTTTAAAGCTAGATTCCAACAAAATAGATCAAACCAGTCTAAGTGGTTTCGTTCTATCGATGTGGATTAGTGTCTAAAAGTAATGTGAACATTCTTTCTTGGTGACAAATTATCCTAACCCATGTTGAAAAAATATTCTTTAATATATTGTTCCGACTACTATATTACCCCCACACATATAACAACTTGTCCCCCATCATTGCAATATATTGTCCCCCATCATTGTAATATATTGTCCCCACCCCTGTAATATGTTGTCCCCACCCCTGTAATACATTGCCCCCCACCTATATAAAACACTCTCCCCTCCCCTGAACCATTACCCTGCCCCTTTGTCTAGCTCTTGTTGTGAGAATGGGGAGGGAGGCAAGTTAACTGTACCTTACAGTGAGTACAAAACACAAACAGTACGCATGAATTCAACCAGTCTTCATCCCTGCCTTGTGTACGCGTATTGTACATGACGTGCACATGTTGATGAGGTACCAACTAGACTGTATCAACATTCTGATAAGGTACCAGCTAAGGTATTATAATGTTGATAAAGTACCAGCTACTGTATCAGAATGCTGTTATGGTACCAGCTAGACTGTATCAACATGTTGTTAAGGTACCGGCTAGACTGCATCAACATGTTGTTAAGGTACCGGCTAGACTGCATCAACATATAGGCCTACTGCTGCGATATATGAAGGTCAGTGTGGACATAAAATTTAATTAAACGCAAAAGCGTGCTAGTACCACGTGATAAACTATAAATAACCAACTAAAATGCTGATAAACAAATACGTTCATCGGTTATTCTTACTCTATAAGGTAGGAATATTAGCGTTTCACCATTATTTATAAATACCACTGAAAATGCGACTGAACTAACAACGAAATTGCACTAAAAATGTCCCTGAAATTAACTACAAAATGGCGTTGAAGATTCCTCTAAATTAACTAAATACTACTGCAAATGCCACCTAATTAAAAACAAAATACCACCCTAAATGTAATTGTAAACAAACGTCTACGTACAACCACGGAATTTCAGATACGGAATTAGTCAGGACAAAAAAAACTGACACGTAAAATACCACGAAGAACCCCCGACGAACCGATCTATACCAACAAAATTGTCTTCGAACGAAATAGATCTTAGACTCCAAGCACATTTGGGCTGCAAGGGGAACTCACCCTCATCGCGATGTAGCAGAACAAGCACGCGGCAGTGAAAAGCATGCCGGGTAAGATTCTCCTCATGTGTATCTGGCCACATGTGTGAGGAGAAGAATCCCACCAATCGGTAGCTGCCCCGGGCTATCATGATTTCCATGGGTGTAGCAAGAAACAAAAAAAATTTAAACCTCTTCCGGTTAGGGTTAAGTCTCCGCCAGGTTCGATGGCGTGTTGTGGCGAAATAGCGTTACAGATATTTAATCCGATTTGATTTTTTTTTACAACTTACACGTTTTTAATTAAGTTTTAGATTTCAGAATTCAATAAATGTCAAGTGTGGGGGGTAGAGGTTTGGTTAAGTCTGCACATGGGAAATATATTGGGCCTTAGAAAATGTTGCTGCGCGCCACGATGCAGCTGATGATGATGTAATTTATGATCGTCACAAGTTTACCACAGCAATGAAGTTTTGTATTGTTTGTCTAATTGGTTGTATTTATACCGGAAGTAAAACGTCAAATCACACTCCCTACCGGAAGTACAACCTCACAACACACTACCGGAAGTACAACCTCACAACACACTCCCTACCGGAAGTACAACCTCACAACACACTACCGGAAGTACAACCTCACAACACACTACCGGAAGTACAACCTCACAACACACTACCGGAAGTACAACCTCACAACACACTACCGGAAGTACAACCTCACAACACACTACCGGAAGTACAACCTCACAACACACTACCGGAAGTACAACCTCACAACACACTCCCTACCGGAAGTACAACCTCACAACACACTACCGGAAGTACAACCTCACAACACACTACCGGAAGTACAACCTCACAACACACTACCGGAAGTACAACCTCACAACACACTACCGGAAGTACAACCTCACAACACACTACCGGAAGTACAACCTCACAACACACTACCGGAAGTACAACCTCACAACACACTACCGGAAGTACAACCTCACAACACACTACCGGAAGTACAACCTCACAACACACTCCCTACCGGAAGTACAACCTCACAACACACTACCGGAAGTACAACCTCACAACACACTACCGGAAGTACAACCTCACAACACACTACCGGAAGTACAACCTCACAACACACTACCGGAAGTACAACCTCACAACACACTACCGGAAGTACAACCTCACAACACACTACCGGAAGTACAACCTCACAACACACTACCGGAAGTACAACCTCACAACACACTACCGGAAGTACAACCTCACAACACACTACCGGAAGTACAACCTCACA